CCTGAGCTGGGGAGGAGCAGAGCCAGGCTGAGGATGGCACTGGCTGGCATGGCAGCTTGGCTTTCCCCCTCTCACAACTCCAGACCAGCATCCCTGAGCTCCTTTTCCCCATCCAGAAAGCAGCACTGTCCTCTTTTGCCAACTCTCTGTTTTTGGGAGCTGCAGCCTGAGCCCCCATCACCCCTGGGCCACGTGCCACGTGTCACAAGCAGCTCCAGACGTGCCCTGCATGCCAGGGCTCCTGCCAGGAATGCAGCCACATCACAGCTGCCAGCTCTGGGCAGGGTGGCCTGCAGGGACACAGGCTCAGCCAGGACGTGGCTGGTGACAGCACAGTGCCAGCAGGGCTGAAATAAGCAGTGGAAATAACCCAGTTTCCAGCTGGGCTCAGGGAGGGTTTGCCATGAGGAGCCACAGCTGGAGCTGGCAGTGACAGGGCTGGAATTTGGAGAGTCCCCATGGCCAGAGGGACCTGGGCAGTGCCCAGCAGAGCCACTGAGGCTCTCCCAGAGGACATCACTGGGTCAGCAGCACCCACACAGTGCCCTGGGTGCAGCTGCAGCTGCCCACTGCCCACCTCAGACCCCACTGGCCATGGGGAGCAGGGTCTGACCCCCAGGACCAGCCAGGGAAGCAGCTCCTGCTTGAGGAGCAAAGCTGCTCTGTTCCCTGCACACAGCAGGGAGGGTGTCCCCACAAGCCCATGGGCAACATCTGCTCAGCACAGCTGGCTCTGTGTGGCCAGGGCTGGCTCTGTGCCTCCTGTCCCTCCTGGCAGCAATCACAGCCCCTCTATAGGGAAGGACAGAGGTGACCCCAAAGGGAGATTGATGTCCTGCCCGTGCCAGGGGTTGAACACGAGCAGGTCTGGGGTTCTGCAGGCTGCACATAACTGGCTCTGTCCCCCCCAGGTCCGCCAGGCCACCTGGAGCATCATCATGGACTCGGTGGTGCCATCTGATAAGGGCAACTACACGTGCATCGTGGAGAACAAGTATGGCAGCATCAACCACACGTACCAGCTGGATGTTGTGGGTGAGTGCAGGGGCTGGGGGCTCACCCCACACCCTCAGCCCTCCCAAACACCACCCTGTAGGGTTGGGTGGGTTCTGCTGCCAGGGAAGGGGTTTGCCCACCATCCCATGGCCTCCTGCCCCAGTCTGGGCAGCGAGAGCTTCACCCCACCCTGTTCTGGGGGTTTTTAATTGTGCTGAAAATAATTTCATAGACCAGACAGAAAGTTTTTCTAATCACCTTATTAGCCATAATTCCCAGCTGGGAAGGCTGGTCTGAGCAGTTCCACATGTGGAGCTGCTCTAAATGCCAGTAAATGAACCATTAAAAATGTGATTTAATTTGATTACACTGAGCAAACTGAAGGGAACAGTCAGCGAGGGGAACAAAGGGGTTTGTTAATGCTGACTCACCACAGTGGCAGCCCCTTTGTGAGCAGCCAGGACCCTCCATAGGTTGGTTTGACCTCTCACCCTGCCCAAGAGGTGCTGATGTCCCTGTCCCACAGGGGTTTCACCTGTCCCCCATCCTGCATGCTGTCACCCCACTGCAGGAGGCTCCTGGGTGAGGGGACACTGATGCTGAGTTGGGGGCATTGGTGCCCACCTCTGCCAGGGGTTCTGGGCATGGGGGGCTGCAGGGTGCACCCCAAGCCCCATTGTAAGGTGCCCCATTGTGGTGGTGTTCACAGGGGTCCCAGGAGGAGGGAAGAGATGAGAATCTTGACTCCATGTTTCAGAAGGCTGATTTATTATTTTTTATATATATATATAATTATTATATTATATATTATTATAATATTTATATTATATTAAATTACATTACATTATATTACATTATTATATTGTATTACATTATTACTGTATTATATTCTATTACATTATATTCTATTGCATATTATATTATATTATATTATATTATATTATATTATATTATATTATATTATATTATATTATATTATATTATATTATATTATATTATATCTATNATTCTATTCTATTCTATTCTATTCTATTCTATTCTATTCTATTCTATTCTATTCTTAGCCAGCCTTCTGATGAGAACCTTTCTTCTATTCTTTTAGTATAGTTTTAATGTAATATATATCATAAAATAATAAATCAAGCCTTCTGAAACATGGAGTCAGATCCTCATCTCTTCCCTCATCCTCAGACCCCTATGAACACGGTCACAATTAGTGGCAAGTGAAATCAGTGGAATGAATAGGTATGAACCTATGGTGAAATTGCATGTATATATATTTGAGAGGGAGATAAAAGAGGATCTGGAGTTCCCTGACTGGATTCCCACATGAGTCCAGCACTGTAATAAACACACCGGCTTTACAACTTTCACAGAATTTGTGGAGTTTTGTTTCTCTCCCCAAAACAGCGCTGGGACAGACATGGGCACCACAACACCCAGCTCCAGGCTGGAGCAGAAAGAGTGTGAGCATGCCCTGGGGAAGGATAAACAGGCAAGAAGCTGTTTCTCCAGGCTGAGGGGAGATTGGAAGGTGTTTGGCAGCGGCACGGCTGGAAAAGCTCTCCCCACGCCAAAGCACACACAGCTTGGATCTCTGCAGCGTTTTGTTCGCCCGGCGCTGCAGAACAGAATCCTGTGATTTATGGGGCTCCACGGGGGGCGTTTCCTCCCCTTGCTTGGAAGGTCATGCAGCAGAATTGCTGCTTCTCTCTCCCCTCTGCAGGGTTCTGGGTCCTGGGAAGGTGCCTGGGGTCCCTGGATGCCAGGCAGAGGTGAGAGTGGGCACATCCCCAAGTGAAGCTGAGGAAAAAAGCTGGCTGGTTTTTTGATGTGAAAATGGGTTTGTTCAGAGGTGTGGAAAGGGTCTCTCTTGCTTCTGCCTGACCCAGGCTGGCTCCCCTGGAAGATGAAGGTTGGCACAGCCTGTGCTCGCTTCAGGCTGAACACAGGGCTGGTGGTCACTGCAGGACATCCAAGGAAAATAGAGTCCCAGCTTCCAGATCTTTCTAAATTGAAAACACAGGAAGTAAACGGACCCATGAGGCCTGGCACACACACCAGTGTGATGTGGTGGTGCCCAGCTGGAGGATGGGGATGTGGGAGGCACCAGAGCCCACCCAAGGCTCACCCACAGCAGGGCAGTGCCCAGGTGATGCCAGGGCTCCCCACCAGCCCCTCTGCTCTCTCCATCTGGGAAACCTCTCAGCAGAGGAATGTGCTGCTCCGGCGCTGGCTGGCTCTGCCTTCATCCCTCCCAGCCTCCTCCTCTCCCTCTGCCCGGAGCAGGGGCTGAGCCCTTGGAGCCAGCAGAGCCACGACCTGATCATTTCACCCCAAACCTCCCCGGGGTACCAGAGAAAGCCAGGGGGGTTTGGGAGTGGAGCAGCCCCGGGCTGGAACAGCAGGCAGGAGAGGCAGCAGTGACTCCATGTCACAGACATCTTCTATGGAAAATCCTTTCCTTAGGATTTTTCCTCCTGAGGAGCTGGGAGGCCTCAGGAACAAAATGTAAACAATGATTATCTGCTGCTGTGGAATGCAACAGGTGCATCTGGGATTGGTCTCATGTGGTTGTTTCTAATTAATGGCCAATCACAGGCAGCTGGCTCGGACTCTCTGTCCGAGACAGAAGCTTTTATGATCATTCTTTCTTCTTCTATTCTTAGTCAGCCTTCTGATTAAATCCTTTCTTCTACTCTTTTAGTATAGTTTTAATGTAATATATATATCATAAAACAATAAATCAAACCTTCTGAAACATGGAGTCAGGTCCTTGTGTCTTCCCTCATCCTCAGACCCCTGTGAACACCACCACAATCCCCAGTTAGGGTGGCATTGTGAATATCCCAGTTTAGGGTGGCAGTGTGACATCCCCAGTTTAAGGTATAGTTTTAATGTAATATATATAATAAAATAATAAATCAAGCCTTCTGAAACACGGAGTCAGATCCTCATCTCTTCCCTCATCCTCAGACCCCTGTGAACACACTCACAACTCCACGGCAAGGTGTTATTTTATTGCAACAACATTTGTTCCATTTATTAGACACAGATCCAGCACTGTGGGTGGGCTGGGTGAACAAGGAGAGGCTCAGGGACAGAGCTAAGGACACAGGACACCTGACAGCTGGCTCTGTGGTGCTGCAGGAGCCTGAGGCCTTGGGTTTAAAGTGCTGCTCCTACCTGAGCTTGGAGAACTGGCTCTCAGTTGGGTTGTTCTAAAGGCTGGCTGACTCTGGAAGAGACATTTCATTCCTACTTAGCACCAAATCTAATTTTACAGTAAGTATAAATATATACATATTTAAAATCCATAATGTGAGTAATTTCTCAGTATTTACATAGGACAGAGTAAAAAATTTTAACAAATGCTAAAAACAGCTTTTCAGAATCCTCTGAGAGTCTGGCAAAAACTGAGCATGTGAGGATGTGAGGAGTGGCTTTGCAAGTGTGGAGAGCACTTGGTGTGTGTTCTGAGCCTGGTGAGGATTATCCAAAGCTCCACCCTTGGGTGAGGTGTGCAGGTCCAGGTTGTTCCCTCTTGTGACCCAGAGGGATCCTGAAAGTGCAAGTCAGATTCTGTCACAGTGTGTGGCTCCTGCACAGCTCCCACACTCCCAGGTGAGGCTGCTCCTGTCCAGCAGGGCCTGAAGCCCTTCTGATCAATGCAACAACACCAAGTGCTGCTCCCTCCCTTCCTGTGGCCACCTCCTCAGTTAAACTCTGGCCACGTGGGTTGTTGTGGGCTGGTCACTGGCTAAAACACCCAAACAGGACCAAGAGCCTGAGCTGTGACCCTCAGGACAAGCTGCTGGCCCTGGCTGTGTGGGGATGTTCCTGCAGAGGATTCCACACTGCAGAACAGGCTTTGCTGGAGCCCAGCCCAGCTTGTTCTGTGCACAGGCCATTCTAACATGAAAAGCTGCCTTTGCTAAGCACAAACACCTGCTCAGGAACAGCACAGACAGCAGCACCATTATTAACATATTTACACCATAAGTTAAAAGTAGCAGGGCAAGGATCCAGCACAAAAGAGATGTCTGGGGCCATCCAGACAGCAGTGGCCTAGTTGCTAACAAGCTTGGGACAGAGAGAGAGGCCCCTGAGGGATACTGCCCTCCCTGTTAGAGCAGCCTCCTGGGAAACCCCTGCTCCCTTTGCAGGTGTGGAGATGGAAGCTGCTTCCTCCCAGTGCTGCCTCCACATTAGACTCCATTGGCACCAGCCTTGCTGCTCTGGGATGCTTCCATTTTGGTCTAGGGGCAAAAGAAAAATGCAGATTTTAGGCAGTAGGAATGTTTTTTTTGAAATTCATAATCTTTTCTGAAGGTGTTTTCCCATTTAGCATGGGAAGCTGCTATGGAGAGGAACAGATGATAAGGAGCAAAGTTCTTCAGGTTAAAAGAGACAGGAGTCTGTCTGGACTCCCAAACTTGCCTTAAGCAGAATCCCAGATGTGCACATAAGCACCTAAACTAAAATCAAATATTCCCAGAAAGAAAATGGAGAAAACAAAGACAATCACTGCAGAAATATTTTTACAGCTACAAACTGCCTCTTACCCTGCTGACCCCAAGAGAAGGCTGGTCTGTCCCAGTGGCCCAAGGCAGATTATTAAGGAAGAGTGCAAGGTTATATCAATAATTCCCCCCAGTCTGACTGCTCTCTGCCATGGGTGGTATCTTTGTATTGAACAGCCCCCAGTGCAGCTCTCATCCAGTTCCCTGAACTCAGCAGCATTCACAGCACCCTGCACCCCAAACTTCCTCGGTTTGGCTGCAAGCTGTGTGAAGAACAATCCCTTTTGGGAGTGTAAGAGCTCTGACAAGCTCACCTCTCGTGGGGGAGGAGGCTTCACTGATGCTTCAGAGAATGGCAATTTCTCTGTTGGCTGGGACACAAATTCTTCAGTCTTTAAGGAAAAAGCAGCTGTAAGTCACAGAACCCTCTCAGAAAGGCCCAAACTCCCCAGGCCCTAACAAGGCTGTTCCCTGCTCACTCTGTGAAAGCTGTGCTGGCATTTCCATTGTTTCCCCAGCACAATTTAACTATGTGGAAATATTTCTGGCAGTTGATACAATATTCTTTGATTCCTGCTGCTGCTTTTATCAGCTGGGACTAATCTAAGGAATTCACTGCAGTGTGATGCTGAGAACCATATGCTCTGGCTTTCTTACTCTACATATTTTGGCTCATTTTGTCCCAGATAACAAACTCAAATTCACTAAGAGGGCTCAAAACAAGTCCTCTTTAACTGGCTCCTCTGAGCTGAATGTACCTGGGCTGAGGCCTGAAAGAATTCAGGTTGAGGTTGAGTCCTCCCTGGCTGGGAGCCAGCACCATGGTACTCAATAACCAGCTGCTCCCAGGCACAGCACATCCCTGCTCCCTCCCCTTGCCTCTCAAATCAGAACTGTGAGGTTCTTGGGGGGAAAAACACCCACACAGTGCAAGAACAGACACTGCTCTGTGCTGTGCTGTCAAACATTGGGTTTGTCCAGCTTTGGAAAGGTTTGGTCACACCTAATTCCCAATCATTTCAGCACAAGTTTTCCTGCTTGCAGATTGCTGTTTCTAACCTTTCTTCCCTGTACAACAGAGGCAGGATCCAGGAGGGTCTTCTGACCTTCAAGCACAGATGTCATTCCAGCAGCATCAGTTGTCTGCCAAAGAACACAGAGTCACAACTTCAGTCCACTTGTAGGCCCAGAAAACAAGATTCTATCAAAGTCCTTCATTTTTATAATGCATAATGGTTGAGGTATTAACCTAAGAGCTTTATTGAAACCACTTGCCTTGCTCTGTGGAATGGGAACAGATTGTGGCTTTACATCTATTAAGTACAAGGCACGGGAAAGCAGGAGGAGGGAAGAAGGAATGTTCTCCTTTAAATGCAGATCCAGCCACTGTTGGAAGAAAACAGAAGGAAAAATTGCTTCATATTGGCTCTATGTAAGTATTTATTAATACAACACTCTGTCCTTAAAGCAATCCTGAGTTTGGATAATACAGTTTTAAGTAACCATAATGAGAAGAAATGGGTCTGAAGAGTTAGGAATAACCAAATAGAACCAGGGCCAGATAAGAGCAAAGTGAAGTGGAGGGGTTTCTCTTTAGTCTAGGACCCTTCATGCCTTAGAGCTCAGCTCTGTGGGTAAGAATAATACAGTTTTAAGTTACCATCATGAGAAAAAATGGGTCTGAAGAGTTAGGAACACCCCCACTTCAAACCAGATAGGAGCAAGGTGGTTTTCTCTTTAGTCTAGGACATAATCTGGACCCTTCATGCCTTAAAACTCAGCTCTATGGGTGAGGATAATACAGTCTTAAATCACCATAATGAGAAGAAATGGGTCTGAAGAGCTAGGAATACCCTCCACTTCACCTTGCTATCTGGCCCTGGTTCTATTTGGTTTTCTCTTTAGTCCAAGACATAATCTGGACCCTTCATGCCTTAAAGCTCAGCTCTGTGGGTGAGAATAATGTAGTTTTAAGTTACCATAATGAAAAGAAATGGGTCTGAAAAGTTAGGAATACCCCCACTTCAAAAAGAACCAGGGCCAGATAGGAGCAAGGTGGTTTTCTCTTTAGTCTAGGACATAACCTGGACCCTTCATGCCTTAGAGCTCAGCTCTGTGGGTCAGGATCAAACTTGAAATTCATGCATGAATTCTCAGGAAGCTGTGCCTGCTGCACCTCAGCATTGCCTGGAGCCTGTCCTCTGATGAATCTCACACCTGCCCAGGCCAGGGCACACTCACCTGCCCCAGCTGCTCCTTCAGCTGCTCCTCAGAGAGCCCCACTGAGCGCATCCCTCTGGCCCTGCAGGCGCTCTGCAGCTCCGCCACGCTCAGCCCGCTGACCCCTTCCTTGGCAATCATCTGCAATGAACAGAACATCCCCATCCAGCACAGGGCAAGCCAAGACCCTGCTGCACTGGAAAGGACTTCTGGAGGTCCTCAGCTCAATCTCCTGCTCAAAATTGCTCAGTATTTGTGCTTTGAACCACTTTAGGGATGGGATATTCACAGCCTGTTCCACTGTTTACCCACTCACTTGATTGAGCTGAAATTTCCCTTGCTGCAACTTATGGCCACTAACTCTGCACATGTAAGTCTGGTTCCATTTTCCAAATAACCCCACTGCACATCAAAAAGCATCTCTTTTTTATAAGTTAGCATGACCAAAAGGAAAAGTTCTAGTGGCAATATCTGAAATGCCACCTCCGTTACAGCTCCCCAAAGACTGCAAGGCTGCAGGGAGGTGAACTCTCATTCTGTTTTCTTCTGGGGAGGGTCTGACTCTCATCAACCCCAATTTCCCCTGTTCTGAGGGGTGTGGGCAGCTCCTGGCTGCTGCTGCAGACCCACCTCGTCATCGGCCTTGATGCTGCGCAGCCGCATCAGCAGCTGGAAGCGCAGCAGGTTGTTGGTGCCCAGGGCCTGCAGCTCCAGCAGCTTGCACAGAGCCACCAGCTGGGGCCTCTCCAGGTGCTCCAGGGTCAGCTCATCCTCAAAGATCTTGGAGAAATGCACAATCTCCTGTGTGCTGGGCTGCTGGCCGCTGGGACGGACCTGAGGGGAGGCACAAAGAGCCCTGAGTGGGATCCCCAGCTGGAACCTCCCCACCTTCCCCCTCCTCACAGTTAAAAGTCACAGTGAAACTGTTATTGAGTGGTCACTGGAATTTCCAGGGCGTGAAATGTGTGCCCTGCCAGGCTGGGAATTCCTGTGAGCAGGGCTGGGACAGAGCTGAGGGAACACACAAAGCCCTGAGTGGGATCCCCACCTTGGAACCTCCTCCTTTCCCCTCCTCACTGGGGAATTCCTNTGGGTGTCCCAGGCAGCCAGCCCAGCTCTGGAGCTGGGAGCTGAGCCCTGCATGGTCCCAGGCAGAGCAGCTCCCTGTGCACCCCAGCAGTGCCACTCAGTGGGCACGCTGGGCACCATTCCAGCTGTGCCAGGAGGTCAGGCTGGGTGGCCTTTAAGCATCCCTTCCAGCCCATTTTGTGATTCCATGCATCCCAGCTGTGCTCCTGAACGGAGGGAGCAGAGTTACCCCCCATCCCTTTGCCTGCTCCTCCCTCCTGTGCCCCTCTGTGTGCATCCCCGTGCCCCCCACCCCTGTGGGAGCTGGCAGAGCCTGTGCCAGCCCTGAGGGTGCTGGGGTTCCTGGGCACAGCCGTGTGACTGCTGTTGTTGGTCTGTTCCAGCACTCGGGGATTAATAGCTCCGATGCGGAGGTGCTGACCCTGTACAATGTGACAGAGGCCGAGAGCGGGGAGTATGTTTGTAAGGTTTCCAATTATATTGGAGAGGCCAACCAGTCTGCGTGGCTCACTGTCACCAGGCCCCTGGCCACAGGTAACACGAGGAATGCCTGGCGGTGGAAGACAAAACTCTGGGCTCTCCTGTTTCTGCGGTTTCTGGTGCAACAACCATGGAAAAATACCCAGCGGGGCTGGCTGTGCTGTGTGTGTGTCCCAGTGTCTGTCCTCCCCATCATGCACACACCAGGTACCTCCTGGATCTGCTGTCACCCTGATTTTTTTAAGATTTTTTAAGATTTTCTAAGCATTCTGATGTTCACATTCCTGTAGCAAACTTTCTCTCACACACTTTCTGTAAATAACTCGTTGTTTTGCATTCTTTTATGGAAGAAGAGAAATTTGATGGACTGTTGGTTTGTCCAGCGGCGTTGGAGAGGTGGCACTTTCACCCTCCAGTCCACTGTCACTTTTAGAAAACTATAAATGCTAGAGACAGAAAATAAACTTCCCTTTTCTTCAGCTGGAGAGCAGCAGTGTGTGCACTCATGTTGTTTTGTGTCTGGCACCAGTGAACCTGGGCCTGTGAGTGTATGACCGTGTTCACAGGAGTCTGAGGATGAGGGAAAAGATGAGAATCTGACTCCATGTTTCAGAAGGCTTGATTGATTATTTTATGATCTATATTATATTAAAACTATACTAAAAGAATAGAAGAAAGGATTTCATCAGAAGGCTGGCTAAGAATAGAAAGAATGATAACAAAGGTTTGTGTCTCGGACTCTCTGTCCAAGCCAGCTGACTGTGATTGGCCATTAATTAGAAACAACCACATGAGACCAATCACAGATGCACCTGTTGCATTCCACAGCAGCAGATAACCATTGTTCACATTTTGTTCCTGAGGCCTTTCAGCTTCTCAGGAGGAAAAATCCTAAGGAAAGGATTTTTCAGAAAATATCATGGCTACTCTGCACTTTGTACAAGAAACTGATGGTAACAAATTATTCTTGCACAACAATGCTGTGAGCTCTTTAGCAAGCAAGAGAGATGAGTTTTCAGGTTTATATCTTACCTGTAAAGCTAAACTTTCAGTGATGCTGTAGCCCTTAATAGAAACCCACACATGAGGGTGCTGCCATCATGCCAGTCCAGGCACCCCAGACTGGCACAGGGCTGCATCCCCTGTCTGTGCCACCATCCTCTCGTCTGTGTCCTGTCTCTGTGCTCCCCTCCCTGTCCAGCCAGCCCTGCCCAGGTGATTTCTCCATGCAGCCCATCCCCAGCATGATGATGGGCAGGACACCCCGTCTGGTGGAGGGTTTTGTTTAACAGCATCTCCCTAGGTCGCCAGGGATGAGCGGTCATCCCGAGGGTCTCTCATCTCTGCAGTGGTCTCTGTCTGCTCCCCGGGGCTCTGCCAAATGAGACTGGGCTCTCCCTCCTCTCTGGCTCCTCCCAGAAGATCTCATGTCGTTTGCTTCTCCGTTTTTTTTTTTTTTTTTTGCTCCCATTTTTTCCCTTCCAGACGGCTGGCGTTAACACGACAGACAAAGAAATGGAAGTGCTTCACTTAAGGAATGTCTCATTTGAGGATGCTGGGGAGTATACATGTTTGGCGGGTAATTCTATTGGGATCTCCCATCACTCTGCATGGTTGACAGTTCTCGAAGGTATATACTCCTCTTCCTTTCCTCCCTCCTTTCCGTGGTATGCATTGTGGTCCGGGAGAGAGCACATCCCAGCCCCATTCCTGGCTCGGTGAGGGCTGCCCTGCAGCTGTGGCAGTGTCCCCAGTGTCCCCTGGCTCTGTGCCCCCCTCCACCCCAGCTGGGCTCTGCCCCTGCTCTCTCCCTGGCCCAGGCAATGCATACCTGGGGTACTTAACCAGGGCTGGCTGCACTGGAACAGGACGGTCTCACACCCCCAGGCCAGGCCAGTGCTGCCATTCAGGGGGTCCAGGGGGGTTTTAGGGGTGCTGGCAGTGCTGCCCTTCCCTGCCAGAGCCTGGCCTTGCCCTGTGGTGTGGGACCATCCAGGGCTGTGTGTGCCTGCCCTGTGGGGATGGCTGCCCCGTCCCCATTGATGCTGCTGCTGGCTATCAATGAGGGAGCAAAGCCTGATAACAGCTTTTGGGGAAAGCTTTTGGGGTGCTGTGTGCTCGCTGCTTCCCAGCCAAAACTTTCCCAGTTATCAGCCACTGCTTTGTCAGCCGGGTGTGCTCAGAGGTTGGGGCAGGAGCCTTCAGCTCCCTCTCACACCTCTCTCTGAGGTTCTGCTCTCTGGGGGTGCACAGGGTGGGCTGGCAGCCCCATCCTGCCTGATTCACTATGAACCAGGCACATGGAATGGGCTCGGAGCTCTTCAGGGCTCCAAAACCCCATCAGCCACCAAGGCAGGGTCTGTGGGTCCCTTCTCCCAGCAGGTCATTGCCACTGGAGTGCCCCTGGCTGCATTGCATTAAATTAAAAAAAACCATACTGATTTTCTAAAAAAAAAAACAAAATTAAAATTCTCCAAAATAGAAATCCATTTTAATTTAAGTGAAATGTACATTTTGAACTTAAATCTCTAGTTAGAAAACATAACTATTTAGCCTGACTACAAAAACTGACTACAAAAACTTAAGCTCAAAAAAACTACTTCAGTGGAAAACAGAAATTTAAAAAAAAAGAGACAAAGAGTGATAAAAAAAGACAGAAAGACTGCTATGAAAGCAAGTCAACATGACCTAAAAGTTCTTTCTAATAAAGAACTAAAAGCAAANTGGGTGACATGGGGCACACCCCACCGTGCCCTCCTCTCCCCTCTCCCTCCATCCCCTCCCACCTCCATGCCCCAGCCATGCTGCTGATCCAAACCAGTGGGGCTGGAGGGCTCTGGCAGCTTTGGGAAGGGTCAGAAGGGTCTGGAGGAGCAGTGGCACTCACACAGCACACCCAGGCACCTGTGGCCATTGCAAGGGACCCTCCTGAACCTGCAGTGCTGCTTCCTCAAGCCCTGGCATCAGGCTGGGGTCTCCCAAAACTTGGTGGGGATTTGGGGATGATCTCAGCAAAGGAAAGGGATTACACAGGTAAACAAAACTATCACAAAGAATAAAAGCACACCACAACATCTCCCCTCCTCCAAAGGCCTTCTCCATGCCCAGGACCCCTCTGCACATTGCCCAGGTGCAGCTTGGGGTGCAGGTGGAGCTCAGGGCTGGGAGGAGCGACCACAGCAGGGCTGTTCTGTTCCACAGGGACGCTGCTGATGCCTGGGAAGGGGCAGATGAGAGCAGATGTGGCTGCAGGACTGGGCTCGGGCTGGTCTGGGGTGTTCATGGCTGTTTGCTGCCCACTGGCCTTGTTCTGTGTGAGGAGGGATGGGCAGGAGGATGTGGTGTTACCCAGCCCTGGGGTTCAGGGGGTGTCACTGCTGCTTTGGGAGCCTTTGGCACTTGAAACACAAATCAGCTATAAGAAGTGCCTGTCCTGTGGGGAAAATCAGGGGAAAACAGGATTGCAAAGCAAGACCCTTCCCCACCTTCCACATGAAAATGTTTTGTAACCTCTCATGGATGAACTGGAGCCCTGGATTGGTATTACAGCCACTGAGCAAAGGAATTCCACCCCATCCCACTGTTTTCCTTCAAGTGCTGAGCAAAAGGAAGAGGAGAAACCCTGGAGCTGCTCATGGATGTTTTTCCCATGAAGCTTCTCATCAGTCCAAGGCAAAGAGAAGCGGCCAGAGAGTGAAGTGCAGGTCATGGTGCGGTGAAGCAGAGCTCTGGAGAGCCAAGGTTTCATTTTTGGCTGCTCAGAGTGGCTGCTGGGAGCAGGGAGGAGCAGGGAGGAGCGAGCCCTGTGCCCCTCTGCAGCTCTGGCCCAGGCTGAGCTGCTCTGTGCTGCTCAGGGGGCAGAGCAGGGAGCAGAGGTTTTTGTCTTCTGGTTCATTGGGCACTCAGAAATCCTGGGTGAAGCTTGAACATCTCCTGGCTGGTTCTGCTGCCTGCATTGGGATTTTCCAGCCCCTGAAGGAACATCTGCAGCTGCCACAGCATCCCATGGCATCCAAGAACAACCAGACACACATTGAGGAGGAAGCAGAGGTGAAGGGGTGCCTGAAGAGCTGTGCCCAGCAACCTTGTAGAGCTCAGTTTAGGATGATGATCACACTGAATCCACCCTCATCATCATCATCATCACAGGGAGCCTCTCCAGAGCTGGAGTAGCCTGGACCATTCCATGGGTTGTGGAATTTGAGCATCTCCTGGCTGGCTCTGCTGCCTGCATTGGGATTTTCCAAGCCCTGGAGGAACATCTG